GGGCTGGGGATGCGCAAGGGCCAAGCCTTGGTGACCTCCGAGAGCGGGTCGGCGTAGAAACTGACAATGGAGCCCGCCACTCCTTCGGGTGGGGGGGGGGAAGGAGGAGGAGGAGGAGGAGGAGAGGGAGGAAAAGGAGGAGGAGGAGAAAAGGGAGGAGGAGGAGGATGTTTTTTTGTTCAAGGTTCGAGGGGGGGGGGCGACCCTGAACTTCCTTGCGTCGCGGAGCAGCTCCACTCCGGGGCCACGTGTCGGCCTCGCCGGGGCCGGTGCAGGTGCACAGTGGGCGCTCCCAGGGCAGGCGCCGCGGCGGCGAGGGGGCTCCTTGGTCCTCGGCCCACGCCTTCATGACGGCGGCGTCGTTCACGCAGTAGACGATGACAGCATCGACGCCCTTGGCCTTCAGCTCGGCCTGCTTGCTCAGGTAGCCAGGAACCTGCTCGGGCCCACCGAGTTGTGCTGCATCTTCGGGGTGGCCTTGTCTGTCCCGTCGCGCCCCTATCCGCATCGAATCTGTGTCGGGTCCGTGCCGAATTCCATGCTGTACTCGTCGAATCCTCGTCGAATCCACGACGGATCCGCGTCCAATCCACGCCGAATCCACGCTGATGCCGCATTCAGCCCGCGCAGGGCGCATCAGAAGACACTTGTTTGGGGACAGACGAGTTCCCCCGAAGATGCAACGTAACACAGAGGGCATCCATAGACCACCACCATACCCAGCAAGGGCCACCCTGGGCCCTAGCATGGTGTATACTCCCTCCAGGCCGAGGCCGAAGGGGCCACAAACATCCCAGGGCCCAGGATGGCCCTGGCCAGGCACGGTGTTTGCGTACAGGTGCCTTCTGCGGAAGAAAGCAATGAAGCTTCCAAGAAGTCCAATGCTCCCCATCATGGATACTCTTACCCCTCCTCCTCCTCCTCCTCCTCCTCCTCCTCCTCCTCCTCCTCCTCCTCATCCTCATCCTCATCCTCATCCTCATCCTCATCCTCATCCTCATCCTCCTCATCCTCCTCATCATCCTCATCATCCTCCTCATCATCATCATCATCATCATCATCATCATCATCATCATCATCATCATCATCATCATCAGCATCATCAGCATCATCAGCATCATCAGCATCATCAGCATCATCATCATCATCATCAGCAGCAGCAGCAGCAGCAGCATCATCAGCATCATCAGCATCATCATCAGCATCATCATCATCATCGTCATCATCATCATCAGCATCATCATCATCAGCAGCATCATCATCATCATCAGCATCATCATCATCATCGTCATCATCATCATCCTCATCATCATCATCAGCATCAGCATCAGCATCAGCATCATCATCATCATCGTCATCGTAATCACCATCACCATCGTCATACTCATCATCATCATCATCGTCTTCGTCATCGTCATCACCATCATCATCGTCATCGTCATCATCATCATCGTCATCATCGTCATCATCAGCATCATCATCACCATCGTCATCAGCATCATCATCGTCATCAGCATCGTCATCGTCATCATCAGCATCATCAGCTTCAGCATCATCATCACCATCACCATCACCATCACCATCGTCATCATCATCATCATCACCATCACCATAATCATCACAATCACCATCATCATCACCATCATCATCATCACCATCATCATCATCAGCATCATCACCATCATCCTCATCAGCATCATCAGCATCAGCATCATCATCACCATCACCATCACCATCACCATCACCATCGTCATCCTCATCATCATCATCATCATCATCATCATCATCATCATCATCATCATCATCATCATCATCATCATCATCATCATCATCACCCCCCTCCTCCTCCCCCTGCTCCTCTTGTTTTTTCTGCTCCTGCCCCCGCCCGCCCCGAACTGGCCCCTCCTCGCACCCGCCGCCAACTTATGAGCTCACCGACCTGCGCGGCTGACGGCCTCCGAGACGGCCGCCCCGGCAGCCCCGGGGCTGCCGCCCGCTCCCCTCCCGACAAAACCGCCTTTGCCCCAACCCGCCCGCCCTCCCCGCCCTCCCCGCACTCCCCGCACTCCCCGTCCCTCCTCCCCCTCCTCCTTCTCCTCCTCCTCCTCTTCCTTCTTATTATTTGTTTATTCTTCTGATTATTATTATGATTATTAGTAGTAGTAGTAGTAGTAGTAGTAGTAGTAGTAGTAGTACCAATATTGGTCGTAGCAGCAGTACATGTATTAGTATAAGTCTTAACGTGCTATTCTTCTTAGTCGTGTAAGTGTTCGTATTATTCGTCGTCTTGTCATTCGTCTTCTTAGTCTGATTAGTTTTCGTCTTCTTCCTAGTCGCATTCTTCTTAATATTATAGGTATTCGTCTTTTTCCGCCTTATCAGTAGTAGTATTGTTCCTCTTCGTCTTATTATTACTCGTCTTCTCAATATTATGATCATTATTAGTATTCCTTCTCCCCCTCCTCCACCTCCCCCTGCTCCTCCTCCTCCTCCTCATCCACGTCCTCCTCCTCCACCTCCACATCCTCCTCCTCCTCCTCCTCCTCCACCTCCTCCTCCTCCTCATCCTCCTCCTCCTCCTCCTCCCCCCCCTCGAGGTCTGTACCCGTCCAACCAGGTCCCGGGGCCGAGGAGGGGAAGGCACGAGCGAGGAGCGAGGGCGCACGTCCGCTTTTCAATTACACAATACGAATACGACTCTCCCCTCTCCCCTGGTGACGTCTGGAAAATATTCGGCCCCCCTCCGCGTACTGGCTTTTTACACACAGGATTCCCAAGAGTTGAGTTTTTGCTTGGGTTTTGTGTCAAACTGCTGCTCTCGCTGAAGCGCCGGCCACATTTCCGGGCTACCGCTCGATCCGAATCTTGTTCCCGCTGCAGCGCTGGCCTCAATTTTGGGCTTCCGCTCGTTCCGAATCGTGCTCCCGCTGCAGCGCTGGCGTCAAGATTTCCAGCGCCATGCAACGGCATGGTTTTCGGTCCTTCCAAATAGACCCCAAAGTCTAGAAAATGCCCCCCCCCCCCCCCCCCCGAAAAAACGATCGGACGTGACGACACATTCGGTGTCGATTCGTTGATTGTTGGGGTCGCAGCAGACCCCCCCACTTTGGGGAGTCGCCACGCCATGCTATGTCAGGCTACGCGTCCTCCGAATCGTGCTCCCGCTGCAGCGCTGGCCTCATTTCCGCGCTTCCGCTCGTTCCGAATCGTGCTCCCGCTGCAGCGCTGGCGTCATTATTTTCAGCGCCATGCAACGGCATGGTTTTCGGTCCTTCCAAATAGGCCCAAAAATCAAGAAAACGGCCCCCCGAAACAACCATCGAAGTGATTTACACATTCGGTGTCGATTCGTTCTTTTTGTGGACAGCAGAAGCCCCACCACACTTTGGGGCGTCGCCACGCCATGCTATGTCAGGCTACGCGTTGATCTTCAACACCATGCTATGCCATGTGATGCAATGCTCTGCTACGACATCCTACTGTGCGAATAGAGAGGAGATCTGCGCCATGGTAAAGGATGGGAGGGAGGGTTTGGACGTCAGATATGACGCGAGCGCACCTAGCTTGGCCCTCCCCACTCCCCTGTCCCCCTTCCCCTCAGCCCCCAGGTGTGATCCCCTGTGGACGTCTAGCTTTCCTGTATGAAGAGCACCAAGCGCACATTCCCTGGAATGGTTTCTCGATCACTGCTCCATCCATCTCCTCCTCCTCCCCCTCCTCCTCTTCCTCCACCTCCTCATTTTCCTCCAGAGCTCGATGCCCCCCCATTTCATCTCATCTCATCTCATCTCTCTCTCTCTCTCTTTCTCTTTCTCGCTCTCTCCGTCTCTCTCTCTCTCTCTCTCTCCCTCTCTCTCCGTGCGTTCCTGGGCGGGGTGAGCTTCCAGGCCCCTATCGGCGATGCATGTGCGATTGCGGGTCGATGCGTTCCCCCTGAGCCTATCCCCCCCCAACGTTGCCCCTAACTCTTGGACGCCCCAGGTTCCTCCGTCCCTGTCGCCTCCTTCTCCTCTCGGGCGGGTGGTCATGGGGGGTGACCTGAATTGGGGGTGGAGAGAGAGGCCCTAAAGGAGCCCTTTAGGGCCCCTTCCGGAGCCGGCAGGGGACCAACAGGGACCCCGAAGGGCCCCTTTGAGGCCCAAAGGACCAAAAGGGACCCCAAAGGGACCCAGAAAGGGACCCCAAAGGGCCTCTTTCTCCACCCCCCATGAGGTCACCCCCCATTACCACCCGCCCGGTCCTTCAGGACCGACTGCCCCGGCCCTTGCCCGCCGCAGCGCGTCCTGACCAGACCCCGACGCGGATGCGGCCGCGGCGGAGAGTCCCCACCTTCCCCCCCCCTGGGGCCTCCCAAAGACACACACACACACTCACACACACACACACACACACACGCACACACACACACACACAAACACGCATCGAAATCCCTTCCTCCTCCTCCTCCACCTCCTCTTCCTCCTCCTCCTCCTCATTTTCCTGTTCCTGCTCCTGTTCTTTATCCTCCTCCTCCTCCTCCTCCTCCTCCTCCTCCACCTCCTCCTGAACTACGACGGGTCATTAACACTGCACCTCCCATGAAGTTTTCGGCTACCAATGCTCGTAAGAATCTTCGGAATCCGTCCGAATCCTTAGGAGTCCGTGGGAAACCTTAGGACTCATGAACCCTAGAAACCCATGGGAGCCCCAACAGTGGTCGCCGCGGGAAAGCCTCATGTTCCAAGTATCGTTGTCGGTCCCAATCCGTCAAACACCCCGAGTAGACAACATTAGATGTCGTTAAATAAAAAGGGTGTTATTCACTACGCTTCTACGTTAGTTGTGCACATGTTGATGAAGAAGCATCGCCTCCCTCCCCTCCTCCTCCTCCTCCTCCTCCTCCTCCTCCTCATCATCCTCCGCCGCCTCCCTGACCTCCGAAAAACAACAGCATGTATGACGCAAGATTCGACCTTATCGATCCCCGACGCCCCGCTCCCCTCGGCAACCTGCGTGCTGGATCAGGTGGGAGTGAAGGCGCCAGGCAGCCCCACCAAGACGACCTTCTTGCCCTTGCACATCTCTGCCAGGTCGAACTTGTCGGGCGGGAAGCCCTCGACGCAGGACGCAGAGCGTGGAGGGAGGAGGGAGGAGGAAGGAGAGGGGAAGGAAGGGGAACGGAGGGAGGGAGGGAAGGAAGGACGACTTGGGCGCGATGTGTCGCAGCGAATCGGATGCATGTTAGGGGGCCTCCTCAGGAGCCTTCATGGTCGTGGTCATTCCGCTTCGAAACTGTAACGAGATGCATCCTCGGACTCAGGAGGGAAGGGAGGGCTTTGATGGGGGTACGTGTATGACACGAACTTGCGCCCTGAACCTACACAGCGAGCCCAACAGGGCTATGGGCCTGTACCCCTCCGGTGATTTCCCCAGCAAAACAGAAGAGGAGGAGGTGAGGGCGGAGCGAGTGGAGGAAGGAGGAAGGCGAGGACACTCTAGCGTGGGGGGGCAGTCTGAGTGAAGCTGGAAAGGGGACACAAGCGGAGGAGATTGATAAATGAGGACGCGGAAGGAAGAACGTCGCGGAAGTGCTTCTTGGGGAGTGCAGCTGAAATAGTCAAAGAGTAAGACAGACACAACTGGAAGGCGGTGGAGGGATGGGGCAACGGAGGACGAGGGAGTCGAAGAGGACCGAAAGTAGGGACAAGTAAAATCAGGAAAAAAAATAGCAGGGACCATCAGAACACAAACATGTTCAGCTGAATAGCTTAGCCTTCGTCGCGGCAACGAAACAGCTCGCGACCGTGGTTGCCTGGCCTGTTGTGCCCAAAACACAAAACATGCCAATTCCTAGGAAACGCTCCCCCCACCGTGGCCCGAAGGAGGTGCCTCCACTCCTCCTCCTCCGCCTCTTCCTCCCCCTCCTCCTCCTCCTCCTCCTCCTCCTCCTCCTCCTCCTCATCCTCCTCTTACTCCTACGCCTCCTGCACCTCCTCCTCCCCGTCCTCCTCCTCTCCCTCCTGTTCCTTACGTGTCCTCGCTGTTGCCTCTCCTGCTCCTCGCCCTCCTCCCTCCTCCTCCTCCTCCTCCCCCCCCCGCTCCTGGCTCCCCCTCCTCCGACCCCCCTTCGGCCCTCGCTCGGCGAGGGCCTGGTCGAGCTTCACCGAGGGCACCGTGTCCCCCACGGCGAGGGCGCGGCACGCCGTCGCGGCCCGCGCACGCTTGCCTGGCGGGCCCCGCGTTCTCGTCGTCGTCCAGCCCCCCGTGCCGTCCACCTCCTCCTCCTATCCTTATTCCTTATTAGAATATACTCCTACTCCCCCCTCAGGCCGGCAGATAGCGGGCGCATCCGGGTGGTCCCATCCTAACCTGTAAAAAAAACAATTCAAAATCAACATGTTTCTTATTTTTTCCTCTCGACATGGACGTTCTGTCGTCCACGGCGATAATCCATTGCAAAAATACTACAAAGAGCACACGCGCGCGTTCATGTCAGAATCCTACCGAACACCGTGTGTTTGCAAGCATTTCAACATAAAAACATCAAAAACCCAATGCTTTTTTCACAACAAATTGTACAAATGTCCCGCCCGGGCTCTCTTGCTGAAATCATAGGAAAACCATAGGAATCTTAAGAATTCGGTCAAATCCAGCGATTTCACGTCATCGCGCGGTGCACTCGCGATGCTACGTTATGCACCCAGGCCGCGAATCCAGTGCAAAAAATATTACAAAGAGCACACTCGCGCGTTCATGTCAGAATCCTACCGAATACCGTGTTTCTGCAAGCATTTCAACATAAAAACATAAAAAAAAAAAAAAAAAAAAAAAACAAAAAAAAAAAAAAAAAAAAAAAAAAAAATGCTTTTTCACAAACATGCTTTGGGGTGTCCTGTCAGACCGTCGGGCTTCCTCCGGCCACCTCTGGCTTCCTGCGGTGTACCGGGCCATTCTCGACTCGTCTGGCAATGCGTGCGCGGCATTCAACACGCGCTCGCCAGTTCCCGTCGGCAACCGCCATCGCGGCCGCATCAGCTGTACCAAACCGGCTGGCCGGTGTGACTTCGGCCCCCAGTTGTGCCAGCTTTGCTTCTTATGTTGTGGGAGGGCGGGTGGGACTGGGCATGCCATGCTTGACTCGCTCGAGCTGGCTAGCTTGACTCCTCCTCCTACTCCTCCTCCTCCTCCGAGTCCTCCTCCTCCTACTCCTCCTACTCCTCCTACTCCTCCTCCTCCTCTTCCTCCTCCTCCGCCTCCTCTACCTACGCCTCCTCCACCTCCTCCTCCTCCGCCTCCTCCTACGCTTCCTCTTCCTCCTCTTCATGTTCCTCCTCCTCATCCTCATCACCTGTGCGAGGGAGTGGCCGACCGAAGGGCCGAACCCCTCCCGAGCATCCCGTGGTCAAAGCGGTAACGATGAAAGAACGACCATGATGAAGATTAAACCTCTCACTCATTGTCGATTCCCCACTCAGAAGTATCAATTCCACAGTATGCAGCCTGTAGAGCAATCCCCATATCTGTGTTAAACTTCTGAGAACAAATCCTTTATGTGATGTGACAGTGTAGCTCTTTCTGGCATTTGACCATGTGAACAATGAGTTTGGTCAAATCGTCAGTCTCTAAATGCAGCTGGGAAGCCAGTGTAGTTCTTGCTGCCATCCCAAAACTCATTCCCACAACATGTGCAGCACTATCAGATGTGTGACACTCGAGGGTGGTGTCACATACATCTGGGTCTGCCATTCATTGGTCGAATGCCGGCCAGTATGTCTGGGAATCGGAATAATAACGATGCGATTTGCTGGGAGGCCGATGACCCCCCTGCGCGTCATGACGGAACCGTCGTGGCTGGGGCCCCTTATACACCCACATGTCCCGTTCCTCGTCCCAGTACTACGTGCCCCACTCCGTTTTCTTCGCAGTGCGCCTCGGAGTCGTGGCCGGAGCACGAGTTTCACGATAGTCTTAGGTCGGGCCTGTCCCCTTGCAGGCGGATTCTGGATGAACAAACATAAATAAAAAATCGTCCCGAGACATTTTTATTTTCTTTTTTGGAATGCTCCTCCTGTAGAGGGACAGGCCCGACTTAACGATAGTCCCTTTCCAGGAACGTGGCCTTTGGCACCGGTGCAGGACGCTCGGGCCCCTTTGGCAAGGCAGCTGCAGCAGCGCCAGGGGCAGGGGCTGCCACCGCGGGCGCGCCAGGGGCATCATACTGAAAGGACCCTGGGACACACAAATAGATGAACACAAATAACAGGATTCCCAATATTTTCCCAAGTGTTCGGGGTTTTCGTCTTCCCCCCCACTTCCCACATGTTCCATGTTTTCCTGGGAGTCGACGATTTCTTGTGTCTGTGTTTTTTCCCCCTCCTGAATCATATGCGCGGAGGAACTTAGGCGTCGCAGGTACGAAGGTGGGATGACCAGGACCACCCCCGTTGTTTCCCTTAGGGGCAGAGGTGTGACTGCTGGTATTCCCCCGAGCAGCCGATTCGGATGCTACTGTAGCATGCGTCGTCGCAGCGTCCCTTCTGAACGTTTCCTGTTGGACGTGGCGGTGGGTCCTGGTCGTCGCCCGTGCCTGGTCTGTTTTTTGGGTCCGGGCGTATGCTAACCATTGCCTGACTTGTTGGAAAAAGTGTAGCGCGCAGCGCAGCGCCCTTGGGTCTCAAAGTTCCAGCGTCAACTCGCGCAGGGGCAGGCCCCGACGCAGAGGCTGCGGGAGCGGCGGCAATTGGCTGAGGAGGACTAGTGGACGGGTGGACGGGAATGTTCAAGGCTGGCCTGGAGCCGGGGCTGCGATGGGCGTTGACGCAACATTTGTAGGCGGTGCACTCTGCTGAGGAGCTGCTGGAGGTACTGGAGCAGCTGCCCTTGCCCTCCTCCGCATCGCACTCCTCGTCCTCCTTCCTACTCATGCTCCTCCTTTTCCTCCTCCTCTTCCTCCTCCTCTTCCTCCTCTTGCTTTTCCTCTTCATTACTTCCCCCGCTGTCTTCCTCGTCCTCCTCCTCCGTCCTCTTCCTTTTCCTTCTTTTCCTCCCCCTCCTCCTTCTCATGTTCCTCCTGTTCCTCCTCTTCTTCGTCCTCCTCGACGCCCGCCAACCCTCCTCAACCTCATCACCGGCGTCCTTCTCCACCGACTCCGCAGTCTTGTCCTCTGTTCGTTTTCGTTCTCTTCCTGTTGCTCCTCCTCGTCCTCTCTTTCCTCTTCCTCATCCTTTTCCTCCTCCTCCTCCTCCTCGGTCCTCGACTCGTTGGAGGTGGTTCCGACGGGATCCGCCGCTTTGCTTGGCGGCCTCTGGGTGGCCACCGCATTTAGTACCCCGAGGCTTCTCATCCTCGTCGTCGTCTTCACGCTCGCCTCCTCCGCCGCGTCCTCATTGACACTAGCAACATGTGCCGCACCCAACCCAATACTGGAGATACAACAAGCGGCATAAACGTACATTGTCGCATGGCCGCGCGGATGTTTTGAAGGGGCTAGGGGCCCCACCGCAGGCGCGTGACAGCACTGTGTGTCCCATCGATGACAAACTTTCAAAGGGCGCCCTTCCCGACGATCGAACCCGGAGGACCAAGAGGGAGGGACGGATGAAGGAAAGGATGACAAGGAGGAAATAAAAGGATAACAGAGGGGAGACGAAGGAGGAGCAAGAAGATAGGGAGGACCAGGCTAAACCCAAAACACATCCACGATGTCGCAATACCCCGTTTCCCCAATATCCCTGCGCGTAGGCCGTTACAAAAATGCCACCGCCCGTCTGGGCCGAAGCGGTTTTGAGCGAATGTTCGTCCACACAAAATTTTGAAGGTGCGCCGCTGGATGCACAGCCCCCCTTTTCCAGTCCGTCGTCGGCGGACCCTCCAACCCCCTGCCCCCCTTCCCCGATCCGCCGTGCCGGACCGCCTCCCCCCCCCTTTTCTAAAGGGGGCAGGCGCGGAGTAGACCCCCTTAACCGAAAATCTGACCCCCCCCTTTTGGCTACGCTGCCTCCCTACTACCTCACCCCCAAACCTTCACCCTGACACCCCAGCCCTGACACCCAAACCCCATACCACCTTAGCCCGAACACTGACCCCTACTCTAAGCCCTAACCCCATCACCATAACCCCTAACCCTAACTCCTCAGGACTAAGCGAATAGAGGCTAGTGGCCCTAACCCTGGCCCTAATCCTAGCCGCAACTTAAACCCCCACCCTAACAACCACCCGACCCCCTAAGAACTGAGAGCCTGTATACATATTTACACCCTGAGACCCCTCATGGATTCCCCTTCCGCCGCCCCGGCGCCCGCCACCTTCCCTTGTAGAAAATACGGTAGTGTGCCCGTGCGGCGGGAATCCCGTGCAAAAAACATGGTTTCACATGCGTGCGCCCCGAATCCCTTGCGAATCATGAACCAGGGAGCAGCGCTTTGCCAGGGTTGCGCGAGCAGCCCGCCCAGAGCCCAAGTGGACACGTACGCAAGAGAGGCTGGGGGTGGAGTCCCTCATAACCCCCAGCAACGCGCGACGCTGCGCAGCACATCGCCAATGCGTCGTCAACCTGCTATGGAGAGCTACCCACTGGTCGCTTCGATGCCAGGCCGCATCGCCGCTGCATCGGGTTGAGGCGCTGCGTTGGTACTGCGCGTGACGCATCGCACTGACGTCCTCGACGCGTTGAGTTCTGTATGTAATGGGTCATGGGTCGGTGGGATACGTCCAGCGGGCTTCGAATAGAGGCCAGTGGCCCTACACCCGAACCCCTACTCTGTCCCCGGAACCCGAGCATCCCTACTCTAACCCTTATCCCTAACTCCTGACCCCAAACCCTGCCCCGAACCCCACCCCTTACTCGAACCCTAAACCCTTACCCTAACCCTACATTAACCCTCACCTCTAACCCCTAAAACCTCGACCCTAAACCCGAACCCTGTCCCCTAACCCAAAACCCTACCCTAACCCCTAACCCGAACCCAAAACCCTCAACCCTAACCCTACACCCTATTCCGAACCCGAACCTCTAACCCTAACCCCTAACCCTAAACCCGAAACTTAACCCTTGCCAGAACGCCTACCCCAACCCCCGAACCCCTAACCCCAACCCCTGATCCCAGACCCTAACCCCTAACCCGAACCCCACAACCCTACCCCTAATGCCTAAACCCTAAACCCTACACCCTATCCCGAACCCAAAACCCTAACACTCACAGTAATCCTACCCGAACCCCTCACCCTGACCCCGAACCCTAACCCTAACCCCTGCCCCAAGCCCTAACCCTAACCCCTAGCCCGAACCGAAACCCTAAGCCCTGAGCCTAACCCTAACCCTAACACTAAACCCTAACCCTCACACCTGCCCTGATACTAACCCCTTACCCCTTATCCTAACCCCGAACCCGAACAAAAACGAAAACTGACCCTGACCCTAACCGTGCCCTGATTCCGAACCCCAAAACCACTTACCCCTAACCCTAACCCTGACTCCCAACCCCTAACCCCTAACCCGAACCCTCAACCCTAACCCAAAACCTTTTCCTGCATACTAACCCTAACGCTAACCCTGCCCTATCCCCTAATCCTACTTCCGTACCCCCCAACACCCTAACCGTAACACTCGAATCCTCACGCCCGCACCCTAAGACCTTAACCCGAGCACCCTAACCCTAAGCCTAACCCCCTAACCCTAGCACCCGAACCCTGCCACCCTGCGCCCCATCCCGACCATCCTGGCCCCAGCCCCAACCCGAATAACCTGACCCTATCGCACCGGCGCTCTGGCGCTGGGAGGGCCTCCCCTCCTGCCCCCCATGTCCTGCGCAAAAGGGGCGAGGGGGAGGGGGCCGGAATCGCCCCCCCCCCCTCTCCAGAGCCCAAGGGAGGGGGGGGGGGGTCCGAATGCGGCACTCCCACTTGAAGGGGGGAAGGGGGGAGGGTTCTGCAAGCACCCCCCCCTTCCCAATTACGGGAGCATCCACCGGCGGTCTTTCAGAATGTGCCCCTTCCGGAAGGGGCTTGCCCTGCCCCCCCCCCTGCCACTGGGTCTGGACGGAGGGAGGCGCGAGCGGTCAGGGGGCGCGCAAGCCGGCGCAGCATGGCTCCAAGACGGCCTCCGATGCTCCGAAAGGGCCTCCCAAGTTGCCCCCGATAGCCGAAAATGGTTTCAGATTGTTTCTGACATGCTCCAAGAGAGACCCCAAGTGCTCCCGGAGCCCCCCTTATCAGGATCCCCCAGTGGGCAAACATCGGACACCAAACTTGGGGGAACCAGTGGTGCGTCCCTCCTCGCCCGGACGCTTCCGATGCGCTTCTGAGGCCCCAAGCTTGCCTCACGACGGATCGAGGTAGCCCCAAGAGGGAGGCCCCCCAGGCGGTCCCCTGAGCGTTCAAGAGCGCCCAATGAGGGCGCCAAGTTGCAATTCTGAGGCCCAAATATGCGGAGGCAAATTCAGGACCCTCCCCCCCCGATCGATGGCCTTCAAGATGGCCCCGAGAGGCCCAAGAGAGCTCCGAGAGCCCCAAGAAGACCCACAGACCCACCAAAAGAGCCCCCAAAGGTCCCAGAGATCCACCAAAAGAGCTCCACGAAATACCCCATGCTGCCTCTCTCCCCCGATGAGGGCAACTCCTGTGGGCATCGGTCCTGAATAGGTCGGTGGGGACACGCGAAACGTTGAGAATTGATTTTAATTGCGGGAAGTGCCCCAGTGGAAGACATCCGTCTGAGAATCCTCAATCGTGCAGCGCAGCGAATTAGCGTGAGTGCTGCGTCTTGAAAGTCCTAAATGGCGCCAAGAGATCATTCTTGGGACTTCAACACCGCTAACGAACGTGACGGTTGCCGTCTGACAACCCTGAATTGCACCAAGACGATATTCCTGGGACTTCAACCGTGAGAATCCTCGAATCTGCTACGATAAACGTTTAAAACAAACGTGCGCGTCGCTGCGGCGACAACCAGACATTGAACAAGAGCCGCCCTTCGTCCGTGAAACTGTTAGAAGCGTTTCGCGGCGCTAAGGCGGGAGCCAAATGTTGAAAGGATAGCGCCCTCCATCATTGAAACCCATTCTACGTTTTAACATGAGCGAATGTAGACAACCTTCTTGGAATCCTGGCCATGGGGCGGTGCCGATGCTGTGGTGGGTTCAGACTGTGGACGAGTGGGCGACTTGAGTTCATTCTCCACAAATCCAGGCACGTGTACTTGATGGCGCGTCCTTTCGATTAATTGTTCACTGAAACGGGCGATCGCCCACTTCAACGATAGAGTTCTGGCGCGCGGCCTCGGACGTCACCGCTCTTCCAACCAAATTGCAGAACTGATCGAACGCTCGGAGGCGACGCGGTGTTGCTAAGAGGGCGGCTAGGAGGCCCCATATCCCATATCACCCATAAGCCGCGTCGCTGGGCGCAGCGAGAGAGACTCCGTCACCGATCTCATCGTGGAAACCCGTCCAAACTTTTGGGGCGAATGCGCGCGGCGCTCTGACGGGACCCACATGTTGAAAACAACCCGCCATCCACCCTTGAAGCTGTTGCAGAATTTGTTGCGAGAATCCGCGGAACGGCTTCGAACGTCAAGCTTCAGGAACATAGACTGCGAGGCGGTTCCATTCGAAACGCCAGCCCTGCCAGACCGGCACTTTTGAAGGTGCAACGGGGAGGAGCCGGTCCCAGAACAGTGTTTGAATTCAGCTGTTCAAAATAATGTCTAAAAGAACTGGGTTCGTGCGCCGCCCCGGCCGGCTTGTCTTCGCCCCGTCGCCGCCCCGTCGCCGCCTAGTCGCGGATTAGTGCGCAACCCTTGCCGGATTGTCGACGCGCTGCCGCCGCCCCGTCGCCGATCGTCGCCGTTCGTCGCCGCTTCGTTGCCGGGCACCACATAGTTTACACCACATCATGTGCACCACGTGTCCCCCCCCCCATGACACACACGGCATAAATTGCCTCACGTACTTCACACCACACAGGTTGCATCACATACCTTACACTCCATGCCGCACACCGCACAACTCCACTGCGAAGCTTGCACCACTAAAATTGCACGACGTAGTTTACACCACATATCTCGCACCACACGATTTGCGCCACGTAGATTGCACAACATAGATCTCACACGCACACACCATAATCGGACCACGCACATTACCACAAAGTTTGCCCCAAATAGATGTGTACGTTTGCTCCACATGGTTTGCACCACGTGGCTTGCATCAAATAGCGCACGCAGCATCGATTGCGCTGCGTACTTTGCACCACTTGGACTGCACCACGTGGCTTGCACAACATGGGTCGCACCACTTAAATTGCACTGCACAGCGCACGCCCCGTAAATCGCACCATGCCGGTTTCTCCACGCAGATTGCAAACATAGCTCGAACCGAAAAACTTGCACCACATAGCTTGAACCACATAGCTGGCACCACATAGGTTGCACAAAGTACCATTATACTAGAAACCATTGTTTGGCGCTCACGCTGGCTAACATATTAGGAAGAGCAGCAAGAGGAGAAGGAGTAGGCGGATGGGGTAATTACCCGGCCGACAGCCAAAGAGCGACAGGCGCGACGCAAGCGGTGCCGCTTCAGCAGAGGGGGGACAGTAGCGCCTCCGCTACACCAGGGCGGCTGGGCCAAAATGGCGACAGACAAGCGAAGCGGAGGATGCGCGGGAAAAGAGGAACCTCAACTGGCGGGCCGTGCCGCTATGGCTACAAGCGTAAAGAAAGAGAGGGAGAGAGAGAAAGAGAGAGAGAGAAAAAAAAAGAGAGAGAGAAAGAGAGAAAGAGAGAGAGAGAGAGACAGAGAGAGACACAGAGAGACAGAGAGAGAAAGAGAGAGCGAGAGAGAGAGAGATAGAGAGAGAGAGAGAGAGAGAACAAAAAAAGGGAGGAACGGAAGGCGCAGGTGGAAAGGGTTCCTCCTGTTCCTGCTCCCCCCCTGTCCCCCCACTACCAGTGTCCTACGACGACGACGACGACAACGACGACGACGACGACCAAGACGACGACCACGACGACGACGACGACGACCACGACGACGACAGCGACAGCGACGACGACGACGAAAACGATGACGATGACGATGACGACGATGACGACGACGACGACGACGACGACGACGACGACGGCGACGACGACGACGACGTCGACTACGACTACGACGACGACGACGACGAGGACTAGTGTGGCACGTCAGTAATCAGCTTGAGAAGGGGGAACGAAGGGGGAAAACATCTCTGTACGAACGGCAATCGGTTTGAGGCTGCCCCCGGCGGCGCCCGCGACGACCCCTTGGTGCGCGTGATTAAAAAATGCTTTGCGCGCCGCGGGATCTACTCATCAGCCCTGGAGACGGGATCTATGAATTAGAAATCCCAGGGGGACATTGCCGCAGGCGCGGGCCACACGGACGACAACGAGGGGGGGGGGGGGCAGGGAGAGAGGGAGGGGCAAAGGGCAGAGGAGCACGGAGCGAGGAGAAGCGAGGGGAGCGAGGAGCGAGTAGCGAGTAGCGAGGAGGAGGAGGAGGAGGAGGAGGAGGAGCGAGGAGCGAGGAGCGAGGAGGAGGAGCGAGGACGAGGAGCGAGGAGGAGGAGGAGGAGGAGTGAGGAGGAGGAGCGAGGAGCGAGGAGCGAGGAGCGAGGAAGAGGAGCGAGGGGGGGAGGCGAGAGGGAGGAGCGAGGAGAGGAGGAGGAGCGAGGAGGAGGAGCGAGGAGGAGGAGAGAGGAGGAGGAGGAGGAGGAGGAGAGGAGGATGAGGAGGAGGAGGAGGAGTGGAGGAGCAGGAGGAGGAGGAGGAGGAGGAGGGAGGAGGAGGGAGGAGGAGGAGGAGGGAGGAGGAGGAGGAGGAGGAGGAGGAGGAGGAGGAGGAGGAGGAGGAGGAGGAGGGAGGAGGAGGGGAGGAGGGAGGAGAGGAGGAGGAGCGAGGAGGAGAAGGGAGGAGAGGAGGGAGGGGGGGGGGGAGGAGACCGAGGGAGGCGAGCACGCCTGCGCCACGGCGGCGCGGGGCCCCGGCGGCGGCGACGAGGCCGCCGAGGGCGGCCGCGCCGAGGACGACGGCCCCGGGAGAGCCGGCCGCGGCCTGCCGCAGAGGCGCGGCCGGCGCGCTCGCTTCGAAGGCACCCGGCGGAACGCAGAGGGGCACGCTGGTGCTAGCACTGGTAGGGATGCACGATGGGGATGCCCGAGGCGCCTGCCAACACCCTCCTTGCCCTCCTCTTCCTCCTCCTCCTTCTCCTGCTCTCCTCCTCCTCCTCCTCCTCCTCCTCCTCCTCCTACTCTTCTTATTCTCCTTATTATTATGTTCTTTTTGTACATATTACTATTATTTCTCCTCATCATCATCATCATCTGCATTTTCCCTCTCCTCCTTCATGTCCCATTCCTCCTCCTCCTCCTCCTCCTCCTCCTCCTCCTCCTCGATTGGTTCCCTCTCCTCCTCCGTTACCCACTCCTCCTCCTCTCCTCCTCCTCCTCCTCCTCCTCCTCCTCCTCCTCCCGCTCCTCCTCCTCCTCCGCCTCCTCCTCCTCCTCCTCTCCTCCTCCTCCTCCTCCCTCCTCATTCTCCATCGTGCCTCCTCGACGTAAAACTCACAAACTATTCAAGAGGACGACGAGTTCGCACGGAGCGTCCCGGAGCGTCCCGAATCGGCGACACAGGCCAGAGGCCTCAACAATGAGAATTGCACGATGAGGACGCAAGCGCCTTGAAGGCTATCTCGGCACCTTGCGAGCGAGGTGCGGCCAAGGATGGGCAAAAGGGGCAAAGGATGCAAGGGCAACCCTGGAGAATCGCTCGTCCTTACCATGCGCGTCGACTGTATCGCTATGCACACCCCCTTGGAGACGAACGCCCGAACCGAACACACAGCACAAGCATAATGCCGTGTACAAGTGTTGTTTTGGGGGGCAGATAGCTCTGGAAGTGAGAGGGTAGCCCACAGGGTTACATCAAAATGTAACAGAAAGCTGACACATGCCCCAAAGTGGAGCCCAGGCTGCCCCGAAGGTCTCACGTGCTTCAACGGCATACTTCGAGGCTCCCAAGAGGCGTAAATGGCGAAGCACGTCGAAAAGAAATGCCTGCGTCAGACCGGCCTGCCCCGAGGCACTCAAAGACAAGATCCAAAGACGGCCCAACCACGAGCTCACGACTGCGGCGGCATGGCCAGAAAGCGCCCGCCCACGAGCATGCACTATAAAACGTCTGAGCACGCGCGCTGCCCCTGCGGGGCCGACGCACATACAGTATGGTTACGGTTGGGTGATGCCGATCTACGGCGGCACGCGAGAGTGGCCTAGGGCAGGGGTGGCCTTCAATGCGCGGCCCGCGGTCTGCCGGTCGCTGCGTGCGATGCGACAGTGGCGGAGTGCGTCACGAGCGGCGAGCACGTCCATACGCACGCCGTCGCGGTCTGGACTCTGGGGTGCGATCCCACGGATACGCGGTCGCATGGATACGTTCCGCGCGGGGCATCCGCGAAAAAACGCCCCGTATCCTTTGGGTCGCAGCTCAGAGGCCCGCGAGGCAATGGATACGGAGATCCTTCCCGCTCACAAACGTGATTGGGTCAGGTCTCCCGGCTCCCCCAAAACGCCGCGCATCCAAGGCCACTACAGCGAAGGGCCGCTCTTACGCGTAGCGGATTCCCGCGGCTGGCCGCCCGGTTGGGGTTTGGAGCTCGACCCTGAGCTGTGCGCGGCAGCAAGAATGGCGCCGGCATCCGCCGCAACCCCCGACACCCGCGCGCGGCATGAAAAAACACAGCGGGAAATTGGGGCAATGCTCAGCACGGGGATCTGACCAGACCACGGGGCCGTCAAACAACTGTTCTGGATGATGAACAGGTCCTCCAGAAGAGGTCCAAGCCTCTGGAGGCCACGCTGTGAAAAAATCCGCCGGCCCCCTTGTGGGGCCACCAGGCTGTAGGCCCGTGATTCGCAGTTTCCTGTACCAGTTGTAGCTTGTAGTTTCCAGTGTTACAATTCTGCTTCTTGCTGGTTACTGTAACTACATTGACCGCGCGAGGGGGGGGAGGCCCAAACGGGACTTTTTAGCACCCCCTGGGCGCGTTGTCTGAATTGCTGGGGAGGCTCGAAATCGACACCCTTCACGCAGATCCGCGGGGTCAGGGTCCAAAAACACAAGGGATTTGCCACATTTCTGAAATTCGGTGCCACCCCTCACGCAGATCCGCGGGGTCAGGGTCCAAAAACACATGGGATTTGCCACATTTCTGAAATTCGGTGCCACCCCTCACGCAGATCCGCGGGGTCAGGGTCCAAAAACACAGGGATTTGCCACATTTCTGAAATTCGGTGCCACCCCTCACGCAGATCCGCGGGGTCAGGGTCCAAAAACACATGGGATTTGCCACATTTCTGAAATTCGGTGCCACCCCTCACGCAGATCCGCGGGGTCAGGGTCCAAAAACACAGGGATTTGCCACATTTCTGAAATTCGGTGCCACCCCTCACGCAGATCCGCGGGGTCAGGGTCCAAAAACACAAGGGATTTGCCACATTTCTGAAATTCGGTGCCACCCCTCACGCAAATCCGCGGGGTCAGGGTCCAAAAACACAAGGGATTTGCCACATTTCTGAAATTCGGTGCCACCCCTCACGCAGATCCGCGGGGTCAGGGTCCAAAAACACATGGGATTTGCCACATTTCTGAAATTCGGTACCACCCCTCACGCAGATCCGCGGGGTCAGGGTCCAAAAACACATGGGATTTGCCACATTTCTGAAATTCGGTGCCACCCCTCACGCACATCCATCGCAAGGCGTGGTAACCCAAACTGCGAGTACTCCCTCGGCCCTTTAATCCCAAGGTGTGGTAACCAAGCTCGTAAACCATACACGTCTTACCAATCGCTCTGTGTGGTAACCCCTCTTGTGATCAGTTGGTTTTGCCGATTGCGAATCGGCCCCGCATGAAGTTCCGATACTGCTGCACGACAGCGCCAAGGCCTCATGACTTAGCTCTTCCATGGCCCATTCTCCGAGAGAGGGGGCCGGCGGCAGGGGGCGAAGCCCTTACGGATCACTACCTCAGATGACCGGGACAAGGGCGAATAGCCCCTGAGGGGGGACATGGATCCAGGGGTTCCGATCGCCCCTGTTTCCGGCGACGCTACTTGGAGCACGCGCGCCCGTGGGCTATCCACCCCTCTTGCCTCCGCCAACAATTATGCACCTGCACCAAAACCTGCCCAGGCCTTCATGGTCCAAGGTTCTGTGCTTACGCTCTCCTGGCTTGGCCTAGGAGGCGTATACACCGATCCTGGGCCCAAGATTGGCCTCCCCAGGGGTAAGTGTACGGTTCGCGCTCTCCGAGAGAACGCTTCCCCCCCCAGTTAACTTCACGCGTCGCGCTGGCGCTGTTTGTGAATGACACACCGTGACGTGGCCAACGCCATTCCCCGCCCCCTTCCTCACCCGCCACCGCCCGGTATCTCCAGATGAAAACAAAACATGACCTGCCCACGAACCCGGAAACGGGTATAGAACTGTCCCACCTTGAACAAGTGGGCTATGGCACTGCTGAGACCCATTGAGATCCGACCTCGCCAGGGGTTGCGCTGTTCTGCGCTGCGCTGCTGCGTCGTAGGGTGCTGAACAGTGTTGCGTCATACTGGGTTGAACTATATTGTGCTCTGCGCATTGCGTTGTGGGTCCAGTCGACAAGGACGTCCGAATCCTGACCGAGCTGATTTTGAATGTTTCACTCGACCAAAGTGGTTGTAACGGACGACCCCCGATGCTAATCCCCTGGGGGTAATAAAGTTCGGGGGTCTGGCGGGGATAGTCAACGGTTTTCCTGGGGATGGTGATGGTATGATGATGATGACGATGATAATGATGATGATGATGATGATGATGATGACGATGACGATGACGATGATGATGATGATGATGATGATGATGATGATGATGGTGGCGATGATCCTGGGCGTTCGTGTAGACTGACCTTGTAGACCTTGGCACTCAGCTGACTCGAGAGATATCGAGGCTCGTGGCTACAACTTGCCTGCGCAAGAGAGGTCCTTGGCGCTCCTGGCCAAGATACCTCTCTTGCGCACGGCCTCAAACCACTCCCCCCTACAGGCTCGGCAACCTTTGGAGCCGTCCTTGCCCGGGAAGAACTTGGTGCAGGACCGGGCGGAAGCTGAAATGGTGAGACCACCATTGCCATGCTCAGTGTTTTTGATGCTGTTGCTAGTCAGCATGAGATGATAGCAACTTCGATTCGCAACTTCCCCCGGGAATTACCAAGTTCGGCCTCCGCGCCCTCTCCACACTGAAATCCTAGTGGCACGGGATAAACATGTTAGAGGGGGTGAAGGGGGGGAGGCTTGATTATCGGGGGTAGTCGGATAGAAATGTGCGAAGCTCTCGACCGTCTCAAATTCAAGACCCAATCCAGTTCCGACAAGGGACGGACCGACAGGGGGCGCAGGGCGCATGGACGCGCCACGGGTGCACAGGGATGCACCAGGGGCGCATGGAACAAGGCAAGGGCAATATCACGGGACTTGCTACGGGAAGCGCCAGCGGACGTGCCAGGGGACGTGCCAGTGGACGCGCCAGAATACGCGCCAAAGACGTGACGTTGGACGCGGCACGGCACGTACCGCGCGACGCGATATGCTCCTCGATTACGTCACCATCGTCGTCACCACAATCACCGCCGCCAGCGGTGTCACAAACACAGCCATCCTCAACCGCCAGCCACATCCCGACGCCCACTGCCAAAGAAATAATGTACCCGGCGTCGAAGGACGAAGGGCGAAGAGCGAGGAAGGACGAGGAGAGCTGATTGCTTGGTATCTGTCGCGGTGGCGTTCCCCTCGTCCTCCTCATCGTCCTCCTCCTCCTCCTCATCCCTCTCCTTCCCCTCCCCCTCCTCCTCCTCCTCCTGCTCCTCATACTCATCCTGTCCGTCCTCCTCCTCCTCCTCGTCTTCTTCTGATTGCTATTATTGTCATTAAAAGGTGTTCTTACTATTATTACACATTGTGGGATTCTCAATACTAGTATTAGTATGCGTTTCCTCCTTCTTCGAAGTATTAATGTTATGAGGATCTGTATCGCCATCATTATTATGAGTATGATTATGTTCATGCTTATAACTGCCATTGGTCAGAGTGAGGGGGCTGAACCGAACGGTCATTCACTGTCCCTGAGTGCGTGGCTGAACTGAAATTCCGCGATGCGGATTATTGTTGTTGTTGCTGTTGTTGTCGTTGTTGTTGTTGCTGCTGTTGTTGTTGCTGTAGTTGATTGTTGTTTGTTGGTTGCTGCTTGTTGTGTGTTGTTTGTTGTGTGTTGCTTGTTGTTTGTTGTTTGTTGTTTGTTGTTTGTTGTGTGTTGCTTGTTGCGTGTTGTTTGTTGTTTTGTTTGTTGTTTGTTGTTGTCGTCGTCCCACCCGCGACCCGCCCCGCGACCCACCCCGCGACCCACCCCGCGACCCACCCGCGACCCACCCCGCGACCCACCCGCGACCCACCCCGCGACCCACCCGCGACCCACCCCGCGACCCGCCCGCGACCCACCCCGAGACCCCCCCCGGCGACCCCACCCGCGACCCACCCGCGACCCACCCGAGCGACCCACCCGCGACCCACCCGCGACCCACCCGCGACCCACTGCGACCCACACGCGACCCACCCGCGACCAACCCCGCGACCCACCCAAAATTTTCGGCGCCTGCGGCGGGTTTCTTTTGCATTCGTTCCAGGTGGAGAACCTGCGACCCACCCGCGACCCAAACCGCGTTCAGTGTACAAATCAAAATTGTCGGCGCCTGCGGCGGGCTGTTTTTGAATTCCTGCCAGGTGGAGGTGGAGAGTCCGCGACCCACCCGCGATCCTAACTACGTTCATTGAACAAGCCAAAACTTCGGCGCCTGCGGCGGGTTGTTTTTTTTTGCATCGGCGACCCACCCGCGACCCACCGGCGACCCACCCCCGACACCCACCCGCGACCCACCCCGCGACCCACCCGCGACCCACCCGCACCCACCCGCGACCCACCGCGACCCACCCGCGACCCACCGCGACCCCGACCCGCGACCCACCCGCGCGACCCGCCCGCGACCCACCCCGAGACCCCCCCCCGGCGACCCACCCGCGACCCACCGGCGACACACCCGCGACCCACCCGCGACCCACCCGCGACCCACCCGCGACTCACCCGCGACCCACTGCGACCCACACGCGACCCACCCGCGACCAACCCCGTGACCCACCCAGAATTTTCGGCGTCTGCGGCGGGTTTCTTTTGCATTCGTTCCAGGTGGAGAACCTGCGATAAACGCGCGACCCAAAACGCGTTCAGTGTACAAATCAAAATTGTCGGCGCCTGCGGCGGGCTGTTTTTGAATTCCAGGTGGAGGTGGAGAGCCCGCGACCCACCCGCTACGTTCACTGAACAAGCCAAAACTTCGGCGCCTGCGGCGGGTTTCTTTTGCATTCGTTCCAGGTGGAGAACCTGCGACCCAAACCGCGTTCAGTGTAACTACAAATCAAAATGTTCGGCGCCTGCGGCGGGCTGTTTTTGAATTCCTTCCAGGTGAAGGTGGAGCCCGCGACCCACCCGTGACCCAAACTACGTTCACTGAACAAGCCAAAAATTCGGCGCCTGCGGCGGGCTGTTTTTGCAATCGTTCCGGGTGGTCTACCAGCGATCCCCCACCGCGCTGAATTTGTCAGAAATGGCAAATCGGCGCCTGCGGCGGGCTTGCTCGCATTGGTTTGGGAAAGCGCCCTCGTGCCATTCCCCCGATCAGGCCCACGTTGACTCTACAACAGCAATCGGCGCCCGCCCCCTCACTCTTATCCGCAATTGCGGGGTGCTACGTATTGTTCCTCATCCTCCTCCTCCACCTCCTCCCCCATTCTCCGTTCTCCTCCTCCGCCTCCTCCTCCTTCTCCTCCTCCTCCTCCTCCTCCTCCTCCTCCTCCTCCTCTTCCTCCTCCTCCTCCTCCTCCTCCTCCTCCTCCTCCTCCTCCTCCTCCCCCTCCCCCCCCTCCTCCCTCTCGTGCCAGGGTGGAGACCCCTTCTGGCCTGCCGCCCCGCCACGGGCGCCGGGCTGGCCACGGGGGCACCGCGCAGCGACGCGGCGCCTCGGGGAGGAACGCACTGGCGGGTCGGGCTGGGCGCAGCGCGGGCTCGCGCTGGCTTCGACGACGTCACGGCCTACGCCGACGACTCCGCCGGCGCCGACGCCGTCGCCGCCGACGCCGACGCCGACGACGATGGCGCCGTCGTTTACGGCGACCCCTGCAGCGGGAGCATGGCCAGAATAGCGCAGGTCAGGAATAGGAATACGAGCCCCCTCGCCGTAGTTCCAGCTTCCCATGGACGTGCCTGAAAGCGAAGAGCATGTCAGAGCGGAGGGCCCGAGCCAAAAGAACGCGGCGCTCGCGCGGCCGCCGACGCCGCCGCGGCCGCCGCCGACGCCGCCGCCGACGCCGCCGCCGACGCCGACGACGCCGCCGACAACGGCGGCGAGCGGGGAAGCGCCAGGAGCGGGGAGGGGGGGGGCGCAGCGCGAAGAGGGGCGGGGCAGCGGGAGGGGCGGGGGACAGCTGGAGCGGGAGGGGCCACCCATGGGCCCAGGGACCCCCCACCTGCACCGAGGACTGAAAAACTGCATGTAACATGAACTTTCGACGCTCCGCGCGGATGTTTCGGATCTGCGCTCGGCCCTCCTGGCGGCGCCGCCGGCGCCGCCCCCTGCTCCGCGCGTCAGAGAGGGACGGGGCGGCGGGGGACCCGCACCCCAAACCCCCCCCGCCCCAGCCCTCGGACGGCCATTCCCCGTGCATCTGTCTGTGCCGTGCCGAGGTGCTACTCGATGGCCCTGACCGAAAAAATGCGCGAGTCGGAGCGGTGCCACTGCGGCCCCCAGAGGGGCCAGCCAGGCCTCAGGGGCCCTCCACCTCCAGGCCCCGCCCACCCCTCCGTAATTGCGCGGCCTGAGCTCCTGTCCAGACTCCAGGGCTGTGCCGCTTGCTTGCTGCTGCACTGGCACTGCCAACCCTGGCGCCCCAGCAGAGATCGTTAGACTCACTGGAATGTTCTGCGAGTTGCGTGCTGTGAGGCGGGGATTTATCCATATCCACCGCCCGGGAACCGACGTCCTCGTGCGCCAGCGGGCGGTGGATATGGATATACCTTGGCCCCCGGGGGCCCGAATACATCCATATCCACCGCCTGCCAAGGCCCCGAAAATTGATCGACGAGGCGGTGGTCATGTATAAATTTCCGCCTCGGACGTGCCAGCCTCGGCTGACAGGCTCCCAGCTTCGTCAGCGGGGCAATGCAGAATCGCAAACCCCCATGCCAACCCCGAGCCACAAACCGCCCCTCCCCCTCCACCCTCCCGCTCGGCCCTCCACACCGCCCCCCTTCTCACTTCTCTGCCCACCAGAGGCACGCACTCTGCAGTGCTCGAATACCAATGTCCCAGAAAAATCGCCCCCACAAACACACACACACACACATACACACCCACACCCACACACACACACACACACACACACACACACACACACACACACACGCCTATAGGGGGTAAGGATCATTTCTTCGGTGGCCTCACAGACTGGGGTCCCACCAACAAAGGGTAACGAACAATTCTGCTCCACGGAACCTGCCGCGCAACAACGACGACAGCACCTACGACTACGAGGAGGAGGAGGAGGAGGAGGAGGAGGAGGAGGAGGAGAAGTAGGGGGAGAGGGGGAAGGAGGAATACGAGGTTTTAGGACCAGTCCTATTTACCGCTAAATGAAAGGGGGGACCAAAAACTAAAGACCTCTCTCGGTTACAGACCCCCGACGTCAAGCTTTCTTCACAACGTCGACCCCCAGGGGTCTCGACACCCTGGGACCGGCGAGGGCCCACAAAGGCCGAGTCGGGCCCCGGGACTGTCGCGATATCTTCGCACCGAGAAGAGTTCTGCGCCCCCCTCCGCCTCCAAGACAACGACGACGGGCGACGACGACGGCAGGAGAGCCCAGATTTGAACTGATAAGTCGGACCGGCGATCTACATAATCAGATCGGCGGAAATCGGCAGCCAAGTGGGGAGAAGTCGAATCGGCGAAAATCGGCAGGCTAGAAGGCCTCCAGAAAACATATAAAAAAGCGTATCCCAAATCGAATCCGAAATGGAATCGAATCGGAATCGGAATCGATCGGCATCGGCGAGAATCGAGCCGGAAGAGTCGAGGTGAGCTCTACGACGGCTGCGGAACGACAGCGACGACGCAGCGATGACGACGGCAGCAGGCGGCGGCCGGGAGCCCCGCGCGCGCGCGGCCTGCCCCGGCGGCGGGCGCAGCCACGAAGGCGCTGGCCTGGCCGAAGAGGCCGGCGAGCGCCGCGGCCGAGGCCGCCGTGGCCTCGTCGCGCGCGCCCGGCGGGAGGACGCGGAAGCGGAAGCGGGGAGGGTGGTGGTGGTGGTGGTGGCGTTCGGTCGGGCATGTCCCCCTACAGGGGGATCTTGGGCGGAAACTGACAAGCACACCCCAAAAAATATTCAACCATACTCAAGAATGCTAAAAAATGGTCCCCGGATTATTTGTTTTACTATTTTTGAATATCCCTCTTGTAAAGGGACAGGCCCGCCTTAATGGTGGCGTCACATGTGGGGATTTTCCCATGGACGCCCCATGCTCTACTGCCTGGCTGTCAGGTTCGACCGCCTTCGCAAGTGTCGGGGGCGGCCAAGAGGGGGGCATCCAAGAGGGGGGTGTGCAAAGCCTGGCCGGCGGCATGTGCGCGGCCCAGGTGGGGGGGCCAGGGACACAATGAAATAAGAAGAGGCGCCATAAAATTTGGGGAGATACCATGGTCCACGCCATGACATCCACCCCCCCCTAGTCATCACCCCCCTCTTGGCCGCCCCCGCAAATGTGCAAGCGTCAGAGTGGCAGAGTGAAGCAAAACGTCACGCCGGGCAGGAGGCAAGGAGGAGCAGGGGTTAGGTCGGGCATGTCCCCCTACAGGCCGATGTTCGACGGAAAAAAATACACAAAAGAAACGGATACTCCAAACATCGCACCCCGGCTATTTTTTGAACTATTTTTGAATGTTCCTCCTGTAGAGGGACAGGCCCGACTTAAGCTCACCGGGAGGGCGCCAAGCACACAGCCACACACACAGACCCCGGCCAGGTCCCTCCTGGGTCCAGGGGCGGCGTGCGCGCCCTCCTGGCATGGGCAGGGCGGCTCAGCATCTCCAGGGCTAGGGGCCTCTGGGGCCGCGGCCTCTGGGGTCCCCAGCGCAGATCCAAGAAATCTGCGCAGGCCGTCGACAGGTTCTGGTTGTGTCGCTTTTTGGTGTCTCCTTCGAGATCAGCGAAGCCGTGAATGACAAAGCGGCTGCCTCTGGGGCCGCGGTTCGAAAAACACTTTTTACCATCCAGAAAGGGGCCCAGCGGCGAGAACGGGTGACGAGCAGACGCGGAAAAGCCGGAAGAGGAGAGGAGGAGGAGGAGGAGGAGGAGGAGGAGGAGGAGGAGGAGGAGGAGGAGGAGGAGGGGAGGAGGCGGGGGGGGGAGGAGGAGGGGGGAGGAGGCGGAACGAGGAGGACAAGAAGAGCGCGCCCGGCGAGCACGCGGGACGACGGCCGCCCCGGGCAGCCGTCGCGAAGCCCATTGCAACTCAGAGAGCCCGGCGCCGCCGCCCCTCCCCCCCGCTCACTAGTCGGGGGGTGGGGGCCCGGATCGAAGAGCACAGATGAAGGGGCCCAAGGACACACAAATAAATACACACAAATAACAGGATCCCCCGTATTTTTCCATATTTTTCGGATTTGCGTCTTCCCCCCCCCCCCCACTTCCCATAGTTCCCATCAATTTTCCGGGGAATCGACGATTCATTGTGCCTGTGTGTTCTTTCCCTCCTGAACAGACCGACGGACGGGAGCGGTGCGGCTCCGCCCCCGCTCGCTGCCGCCGCCGCCGTCCCCTGCAGAACGGGCCGCCGCAGGGGCGCCGCCGCAGAGCGCCCCGCCCTCCCCTGGCGGGCGCGTGCGGGCCGCGCGGGCGAGGCCGCGGTGACCGCGCTCCCCGGCGGGCTGCTGCCGGTCGTGCCCCTCGTCTGCGCGTGCAAGCTGCCTGGAGCCCCCCCCCCAGGGGGCGACCGCCCCCGAAGGGGGGGGGGGGATGGCGGTGTCCAGGCACCGACACTGATGCCAACAGCGACGGCGACAGGAGGAGGAGGAGGAGGGCCCACGGCTGGCTGCGTAGTGAAGCAGTCGAAGCCTGCCACCCGACCAGCGTGGGGGATCCCCTCTTGGCCCCCGTTGCGCGCGAGGGGGTGCCTGTCCAGCAGGCGCCTCGTCCTGCTGGAGGCAGCGCCGAGGAGCGGGCTCCTGCGCGAAGACGAAGACTTCGAGGAAGGCAGCTATCCCACCAGCCCTTCGGGCTAAGGTGGTCTAACGATGTCTCTCTTTCCTCTTCCAAGAGCCCTCTTCCCTTCGGTGAGAGGCACACTCCCCCTCCCCTCCCTTAGTGAAGAGGCCCAGGGACACACAGATAGATTCACACAGATCAAACTATTCCCCATATTTTCCTATATTATCTAGGTTTCTGTCTTCCGCCCACTTCTCATATTTTTCCATATTTCCTGGGGAATCGAGGATTAATTGCGTCTGTGTGTTTCGTTTCCTTCTCCCTTAGGTTTTTGGGGGGCGCGCCACGAAGTGGCAGAGGGCCCTTGTTCGCCAAAGGTGGCTCCAAGAAGGCCCTCGGTGCTCTAAGACGGCCGCCAAGGCGGCTCCAGATTTTTTTTCGCAGCCACACTTGAGTAACACGTGCACTCCATGGCGATACGCGACAGAGCCTGACCAGCAGCTATAGTTACAGCAACATCCCATAAGTAAAAAAGCACCGGCGAGATGAGGAGACGAGAGGAGGACGAAGATGGGACGGGGAGCGGGATAACAGCCGAAGATAGTTCAAGATAGCCGAAGACAATTCAAGATAGCTTCCGACATAACTTTAGGAGGCCCGACGATGGCCACAAGACGGTTCCAAGTGCTCTCGGAGCCCCCTTCAGGACCCCTCACGAGGGCAACATCCTTCAAACACCGAAGGAGCCACGGCGACGTTTGCCTTCTCGCCTTTTCGCATCTGATGCGCTTGAGGGCTTGAGGCCTCCAGAATTGTCCAAAGATGGCCCAAGAAAGCCCCAAGAGGGGCTTTCTTGGGCCAAGGCCGGCCCAAGATCGCCCAAGATGCTCCTTGAAAGCGGCCCCAAGCGCCCAAGATCGGCCCAAGAGCGTCCCAAGAGCGCCCAAAGAGGCGATTATGATGGAACCCGGGGGGGGGGGGGGGGCGAATTTGGACCCACCCTTATTGTTCGATGGCCGCCAAGATGGCCCAAAGAGGCCCTCCAGGGCTCCCAAGGGACCCCCAAGAGGGCTCCGAGAGGGCCCCCAAAGAGGGCCCCAAGACTCCCCACAAGAGCCCCAAGAGGACCCCAAGATCCACAGAAAGAGCCCCAAGGGAGCTCCAAGAGGCGATTTTGAAGGCTATGTTCTCGTCCTCGTTGTCCTCCTCCTCCTCCTCCTCCTCCTCGTCCTCGTCCTTGCCCTCATCGTCTTCCTTGTCCTATTGCTCCTCTTCCTCGTCGAAGAGGTCGTGGTCGTCGTCATCGTCGTCTCCTCCTCCTCCTTCCCTCGCCACCACGCGGGCCCCAGAGATGGCCCGAAGAGGCACTCCAAGGCCGCCCCTTTTCTCACAGAGATCTCTCTGTTCACTCTAGTTGCCCGCTTTGGTTCACTATATGTGTCTCTCCGTCTCTTTTCCCGTCAGCTCTCATGGGCAGGGTGCCTGAACGGGCTGGTGGGGACGCGCGAAGCGTGAATAATTTGTATAAACATCAGCTTCTGGAGGTCCGCGCGGACTTCTTGCATCGGTGTCGGGCCCTCCCTCCCTGGCGCGCGCGCGACGGCGCGCCAGGAGCGGCGCTGGAGGCGCCGCTGGGGGGTTCAAGCCCAGATGCGAGACATCCGCGCGGGCCTCAAAAAGTTCACAGCCTTCTCTTAGGAAGCAACTCCTCGGAGGTCTTCGCAAGAACGAATACGGCCTAGTAAGCCCAATTGAGGAGCCATTGAGCAGGATCAGATCGGATGAAGCACGGGAATAAGCCGAACTGACCAGCAGTTGGCTAGATCGAGCGGGACGATGCCAGAGAAGGTGGGCTGTCGACCACGAATATACCAAAGCCGATGCTGAGTTTGACCTCCCAGGAATTGCATCCTAATTTTCGCGGCGGCACCGACAACGATTCCTGCTCAGAATGCCTAGTCTTCGGTTGGTCTTCGTCACGGGTGTTCTGCTCCGATTTCGATCGTCGTACCGAATGTGTGTGTGTGTGGTATGTTGTGTGTTGTGTGTTTGCGTGTGTGTGTGCTTGTATGTGTGTTTGTGTGTTTGTGAGCTTGTGAGTTTGCGTTTTTGTGTGTATGTGTATGTGTATGTGTGTATGTGTGTTTGTGTGCATGTGTATGTGGTATGTGTATGCTGTTTGTGTGAGTTGTTTGTTTGCTTGGTTGTTTGTTTGTATGTGTGGTTGTTTGTTTGTTTGTTTGGTTGTGTGCTATTGTGTGTTGTGTGTGTGTTTGTGTGTGTTTTTGTGTGTGCAGCTTCCCCTTCTTCCCCCCAGAGGCAACGAGGGGGGGGGGGGGGGGCTGGCTGAGGGGGGGAACATCGACCTGGAATCGGCAATACATCACCGATAGATTGCCGAAGGCCCCCGATAGCGAATCCGCACGGTCCTGGGCGGGGCGGGATCTCGAAGCCCGATCGGTGATCAATGGGCGATTGGGGGTCGACGCATCCCGCCATCTCATAACCCCTTGGCTTTCGGGGCACATCCCAGCTCTCCCGCGGCCGTTCGGGACGATCAGGCACCCCCGGAGCGCTCTCGGCGAGTCGCAGCCGCTGGAAGGCAGCCCTGGTCTGGGAGACCGCCGAGAATCGGCGAACACGCCCGAAGGCCTAGAACCCAGAACCTCAGACTTCGAACCGTCGGGCGGGTCCCCCCCCCGGGCGTTGCCCTTGGTTCGCCTGAAATAAGAGCCCTGGGTGTTTTTGTCAGCCTTTTTCTAATTTGGGCTCCTGACAGGCTGAAGACGCTAGAGAACGCTACGTGGTGTTAGCGTTGTTAGGGCTGTTGTTTGGGCGTGTTTGTGTTTTGGTTTGTGTTTTCAGGCTGAACACGCTAAACGAATGTCCGGAAACGTCAGAACAAAGCATCATGTTTTCTACAGCGTTTGTAACTTTCTGGTTGAGATTTGAACACGTAACAAAATAATGTCCAAGCCGAGGGCGCTGCCCCGGACCTTCGGGGACGGGCCGACGAGGGGGGCCGTCCTGGGGCCGTCCCGGGGCCATCTCGGAGGAGATCGATCCAGGGAGGGGCCGCAGCCCACGAGGGCCCCCCCCAGCCAGGAGGCCAAAACTAGGGCGACGAGACCTATACACATCCATTGCTCCTGGCCAGGCCCCTCCTGGGCCCAGGAGCTGTGTATACGCCCTCCTGGCCTGGCCAGGGAGGCAGATACTCCGCTCCTGGGTCCAGAACGCCTGGCCAGGGATGGTGGATGTGTATAGGTCTCGTCGCCCTAAGAATGTGGCCGGAACCTTATACACGGAAGCCGGAAGGAGCGGATGTTGGAAAATCGGTGAACGTGGAAGTGGCCAGGGGGCGGAGCGAGCTCGAAACAGCAGGTATGCAGTCGCCGGGGTGAACAAATAAAGGGAAACTGTCCAGGGGCTGGAAAGAGTGGAAGGGCTGGCCCCAGTCACTTTTCCCAGCTTCCATGTGGTAGAGTCAATTGTGTTGGCCTCCTCGCCAAGGCTCTCTTGGACGCTCCAACGCCTCGCGGAACGCCCCCCCCAAACCCCAGGCAGCGGAGGGCGAGGAGGAGCGGCGGGCGCCGGCAGCGGCACGCGCGCGGGCGGGAGGCGGGCCTTCGCCATGGAGCGGGCGGGCGCGCGCGCGGAGAGCGGATCGGGCGTGGGGCGGGCTTCGAGCCAGAGGTCACACTGAAGGCAGGGAGGTCACCGAACTCCGCCGCACAGCGCGCCCCGGCAGAGCGCGACGTGCAGGCTGTCGCTGCGCCCTCGCGCCGCCGCCCCGGAGGACGGCGCCTATCGGGCCCAAGCCGCGGCGCGCGGAGCGCGATTCTCTTCGCGCCCCCGCGGGCGACCTGGAGGCAGGGAGCTCACGGAGGGCAAAAACCTCGGCAAAGGCCAGACACACTTTGCAGAAGATCTGTGCCCTCAGTGTGCGGGCGCGGGGCGGGCTTCGAACCAGAACTCACAATGCAGAGGCGGTCGCGGCGCTCGACCTCCAGCACTTCCCTCCGCAGGCAGCGGCAGTCCAGGTCCTATTCCCCCCTCGCCCTGCATGTTCGCCTCAAACTGCGCGACCTCGTCCTCGTCCAGCTACTTGTCCTCCGTCTCCTCCTCCTCCTCCTCCTCATCATCATCATCAGCATCATCACCATCACCATCATCATCATCATCATCATCATCATCATCATCATAATCATCATAATCATCATCATCCTCATCATCATCATCCTCATCATCAGTATCATCATCACCACCGCCATCATCACTACCACCACCGCCACCACCACCACTTCATCATCATCGTCAGAAGCAGCATCATCAGCATCAGCATCATAATCATCATCATCATCACCACCACCACCATCATCATCAGCATCATCACAATCACAATTATCATCGTCATCATCTTCTGCTTCATCATCATTAGGATCAGCATCATCATCGTCATCATCAGCAGCATCCATATCATCCGCATCCTCATCCTCATCCTCATCGTCATCCCCCTCGTTCTCCTTCCCCTCATCATCATCGTCATCGTCATTAGCATCATCGTCATCGTCATCATCATCATCACCATCAGCATCATCATCATCGTCACCATCATCGTCATCATCATCGTCATCATAATCATCCTCATCCTCATCCTCATCCTCATCCTCATCCTCATCATCATCATCATCATCATCATCATCAGAATCATCATCATCGATTCCATCGTCTTCCTCTCCCTCGAGCTTTCCCCGTCCTCCTCGCCGTTCTGGTCCTCCCAATCGCGATATTCACGTTCACCCCTATCGCCACTGCATGATCCTTAACTATGAATACTGCGAGCTTCGCTTCCCTGAAGATGTGTTCACTTTCATACCTACTATCGTGATCTCGCGCCGCATTATTGCAACCGTGGACCGTGGATCACCCCCTCCCGCCCATGCCGTTCCGTCAGCCCCCCCCCCTCGTCCGTTACTGAGCATGGGGAACGTGCCTCCCCCCCGCCCCCGCCCCCCAGTGTCTTGGAGCGTATCATGGAAATTGTGTGGCGCGTAACTGTGGAACGCAAACAAAAACCCTCTAGTTTTATTCATAGCCGCGAAAGCCCGAGTTAGTTCTGGAGCCAGGGGGGGTCCACTGACATAACCCCCAATGGTATGTTAGCACGTCAGATAAATCAATTAATTCCCGCGGGGGGTGCGGGATCAGGGCTCCTGGCTCTGAGGGAGCCCAAATTCTTATTTTCCATGGACCGTGGCTCTGGGAGCGCTGGCGCCGTGCAACTTGCAAGGACGGTGCCCTGGGAAAGCAGACGCAGGGCAGGTTACGAGGGATCCTTCAGCAACCTGCAGGGATCCGCAGGAATCCTTTCAGGACACCTTCAGGAATCATGATGGACTCCTCCAGAAACTGTAGAAATCTGCTAGAGAGTCTAGAGGGGGCCATAGGAAGCCTTGAGGAAAGCTTGAGGAATCCTCGGGAATCCTCACAAATCCTCTAGGGGTCAGCAGCAAACCTTCAGGAATCCTCAAGAGTCCTCCGGGAAAACCCAGAGGAATCCTCCGGAGCGTGAAGAAATATTAATGAATTCTTTGGAGCCCGCAGAAACCACCCAACGAATCTCAGGGCCGCAGACACACAGTCATTACGATGGATCATGGCCCTAGGAGCGCGAACACCGCGTAAGTTACAAGGGTTCGGTCGGGCATGTCCCCTCACAGGCCGATTTTGGATGACAAATGATTAATGAACAACGCAGTACTCAAACATCATCAAACATAGTATTCAAAAATATTCCCCATACTATGTTATGACTATTTCTGAATATTCCTCCTGTAGAGGGACAGGCCCGATTTAATATTAGGGATCCTTGCCAAGGGAGCGCGGGAGCAACGAAACTTGTGAAGGACCGTTGCCCTAGGAGCGCGCAAGCACAACCATTTCTCATGAGCCGTGGCCCTGGGAGCGCGGGCGCTGTACAATTTGCAAGGACCGTGTCCTAGGAGCGCGGATGCAGGGCAATTGTCAAGGGATCCTTCAGCAACCTGCAAGACTCAGCAGGGATCCTTTCGGGAATCCTTGAGAAATCAAATTGGAATTCTACAGGAACTCAGAAATCCTCCTGAATCTGAAGGGCCCACAGCCTCAGGGAAATCTCGAGGAAGCCTCAGGACTTCTCAGGGGTCCTCTAGGAGTCGACAGCAAACCTGCAGAAATCCTCAGGAGGCCGGGAGTCGTGGAGAATCCTTCGGGAACCTAGGAAAACCGACAGATCTCGGAACGCCGCAGAAGCGATTGAATTTACAGCGCGGAGAGGCCCTGGGAGCGCGGACACAGCGTAAGTTACCAGAGGTCCTGGCCATGGGAGCGCGGGCGCAGCGTAACCGCATGCCGATGATAATAAAGGGACCCCCCCTTCAATGTTTAGAGTTGATTATCGTCGCCCTATACAAAATTCAAATTGGGCGGCGAGCGCTGAGGCCGAACTTCATTATCACCTCGAAACGCTATGTTGAGATAGCAACATCAAGCGATGTTGATATAGCAACATCAAGCGAAGCGATCACACTTTTTCAGGATGTGTCAAGCGAAACCAATAATTTTGGGAGGCAGACTCAAACGAAACGAGCAATGTTCTTATTATTATTATTATACTTTCCTCTTCTTCTTTTATATTTCTATCTGTCCTCACGCTCGCCTGATTTTTTTTATCCCTGGGGTTGATTATCCATGGAAAATATACCCTACACGAGCACTTAAACAAATCTATTTTCATAAAGCGTTTGTGAATTAAAATTGATAGATTTGGAACGTTGGATTTTCCTTTCTTCGTCCTCTTCTTGTCATCCTCTTCTTCTTCTTTCTTATTATTATTCTACTGTATTCTTCTTCTGTTATATTTCTCTCTGTCCCCACGCTCGCCTGAACTGTTTTATCTCTGGGGTCGATTATCCATGGAAATTGAGGCACATGAGCTACCCTACACGAGCACTTACAAAAAAAAGTCATGAGAGATAAGCCATTGTTGAAGATATTTCTATGAAAACTAAACGCCAAGGATGTCTCAAAACGTGCTCGGCTTGGTCTCCTCTTGATCATCTCTTACTTCGAGATTATGCTGAGGTCTGCTGGGCTACTTTTATTATCTCTCCCTGAACCCCGAACTTTATTATCCCCTAGTGTTTATTCTCACGGGCATGAGGTTAATTTGCACAGTGCCCAAGCACAATTATTCCCCATGGATCGTGGTCCTTGGACCGCGGGCGCAATTTGCAAGGATCGTGTCCTACAAACACTGCATCTCAGCTGCCGCGCTGCACGCCTTGCGCCTCCGTCTCACCGCCTGGACGACACATCGCGGCTCCCCTAGCGTCGCCACTCATGGTATTAAATCTGTCGGCGGCCCTGAAACACACCCAAGTCCTAGGAATATCGCCCCGCGGCACCTGCAGCGATACCTATACGACCACCCTTCCGGTGAAAAGGAGGTTGACGGGAAGAAAAAGCCGACTGATGGCAATCTTGGTGGTTGTGATGAGGACGATGCTGGTGATGCGTCCTCGGGTTGGCGACAAATGATCTCAGAACAGATCGCACTATCGATCTCCCAGTCCATCTCACCGTCGATCTGGCAATCGAACCCACTATCGATCTCACATCCGTGCTAATTATCGATCTCATTACAGTTTCCACAGTCTCACAAGCGATCTCCCAATCGATCTCGCAGCCGATCTCATGATCAATCGCACTGTCGCTCCCACTATAGACCTCACAATCTCACAACACATCTCATCCACCTCACAGCGGATCTCACTATCGAATTCCCAAACGATCTCACTATCGATCTCGCCGCCCTGCCCCGGGACACTGACTCACGCCGCCCTGCCCTGGGACACGGAACACCGACGGGACCTCGACGGGCTACCCACGGGACATCCCCGGGCACCGCGCGCCGGGGGGGTGGCGGCATCAATCCTCTTGCGCGCCCACGCAGCTTCGCCTCGTCCTCGCGCGCGGCACAAATCACGAAACCGAAACCGATTTCCCGGAGGGGGGCTTTCTGCCCCACTGCGACCTCCCCCCGCAATTCGATTTAGCACCCGCATTCCGGAATTCCTCGGGGTTGACGGGTTGGGGGAACGGGGGGGGGCGGAGGCAGCGAATCTTGAAGGTTCGGGACTCTATACTTGAGCGCAATGTTTGAACGCCCGCTGGTTGAGCCGATTGCGCGAACGTCATGTGTTAACGAATCCGGGAACACCTACTTGTTATGTTTTACGCACTCGGACGCGCCGCATGATGTGGGCCACGCTATGATACGTTGCAACTGATGTGGGTCAATACGTTTTAATTACTATTGCGCGCGAGTGCGCAACGCAAGAACCCGTCGTGACTGGCCAACATAGCTCGGGAAGTGAATTGAAACAACTGACTGATTCCCTCCTAATCTGAAGGCCCCATCATGCAATTATCACTGCGACGCAAAACGCGTTCGTTATTGCGCGCGCTCTCGCGTGCGCAATGCGAAACACATGAAACAGCGACCATCTGGACTTTGACCACTGGATGGCGAAAACGACTTGTGTCTCTCGTATTACGAAAGCCCCAGCGGGGAATATCGCGCGGAGAAGCGA